AAATAGTTCAGTTTGATAAATAGTTCAGTTTGCTTTGGTAAAAAAAATGTGGTTTTCTAGTTCACTTTGATAAATAGTTCAGTTTGTTTTGGTAAAAAAGTGTGGTTTTCTAGTTCACTTTAATAAATAGTTTAGTTTGATAAATAATTCAGTTTGCTTTGGTAAAAAAATGTGGTTTTCTAGTTCACTTTGATAAATAGTTCGGTTTGATAAATAGTTCAGATTGATAAATAGTTCACTTTGATAAATAGTTCAGTTTACTGTGGTAAAAAAGTGTGGTTTAGTTTGATAAATAGTTCAGTTTGCTTTGGTAAAAAAATGTGGTTTTCTAGTTCAGTTTGATAAATATTTCAATTTGCTTTGGTAAAAAAGTGTGGTTTTCTAGTTCACTTTAATAAATAGTTCAGTTTGATAAATAGTTCAGTTTACTTTGGTAAAAAAGTATGGTTTTCTAGTTCAGTTTGATAAATAGTTTAGTTTGATTTGATAAAAAAATGTGGTTTTCTAGTTTACTTTGATAAATAGTTCAGTTTGCTATGGTAAAAAAGTGTGGTTTAGTTTGATAAATAGTTCAGTTTGCTTTGGTAAAAAAATGTGATTTTCTAGTTCAGTCTGATAAATAGTTCAATTTGCTTTGGTAAAAAAGTGTGGTTTTCTAATTCACTTTGATAAATAGTTCAGTTTGCTTTGGTAAAAAAATGTGGTTTTCTAGTTCAATTTGATAAATAGTTCAGTTTGATTTGATAAAAAAATGTGGTTTTCTAGTTCACTTTGATAAATAGTTCAGTTTGCTGTGGTAAAAAAGTGTGGTTTAGTTTGATAAATAGTTCAGTTTGATAAATAGTTCAATTTGCTTTGGTAAAAAAATGTGGTTTTCTAGTTCACTTTTACCAAAAAGTGTGGTTTTCTAGTTCACTTTGATAAATAGTTCAGTTTGATTTGGTAAAAAAGTGTGGTTTTCTAGTTCAATTTGATAAATAGTTTAGTTTGATAAATAGTTCAGTTTGCTTTGGCAAAAAAATGTGGTTTTCTAGTTCACTTTGATAAATAGTTCAGTTTAATAAATAGTTCACTTTGATAAATAGTTCATTTTGCTGTGGTAAAAAAGTGTGGTTTAGTTTGATAAATAGTTCAGTTTGCTTTGGTAAAACAATGTGGTTTTCTAGTTCAGTTTGATAAATAGTTCAGTTTGCTTTGGTAAAAATGTGTGGTTTTCTAGTTCAGTTTGATAAATAGTTCAGTTTGCTTTGGTAAAAAAATATGGTTTTCTAGTTCAGTTTGATTAATAGTTCAGTATAGTTCAGTTTGCTTTGGTAAAAGAATGTGGTTTTCTAGTTCAGTTTGATTAATAGTTCAGTTTGATTTGGTAAAAAAATGTGATTTTCTAGTTCAGTTTGATAAATAATTCAGTTTGATAAATAGTTCGGTTTGCTGTGGTAAAAAAGTGTGGTTTAGTTTGATAAATAGTTCAGTTAGCTTTGGTAAAAAAGTGTGATTTTCTAGTTCAGTTTGATAAATAGTTCAGTTTGCTTTGGTAAATCAATGTGGTTTAGTTTGATAAATAGTTCAATTTGATAAATAGTTCACCTTGATAAATAGTTCACTTTGATAAATAGTTCAGTTTGCTTTGGTAAAAATCAAAGCAATTAACTAAACTAATCACAATTTCCTAACTTTTAATTTGAACACATCACAATTTCCAACACAATAATCCAAAATTAAATATAAAAGAGAAAGGGCTTGTTAATACCAAGAACTTGTGTAGTTGGTGTTGCAATAGATCATTGGATTCATAGAAATCTCAAGCGTTCGAGAACTAATGATGTATGCAAAAGAAATTCAACTGCAAAGATTCAAAATCATAAATTGCAAACAGGAATGAAACAACAACATGCAAATTTTTGAAAACTAAAACCAGATCGAAAGAGAAAGGTAACGTGTTATACTGACAGGCGCGCCATATAGCTAGCACTCTAGGCCACAACGATAACATGACCGACGATATTTTGCAGATTTTTTCCAACTTCGACGGCAGGTTCTCTCACGAGAAATCTGCTTATAATTGATTATCACTTGATTATATTACTTTGGTATTTGATATATCATGACTTGACATATTTCTGGTTATATTGTTGTTATGTTTGATTACACACTTACGTAGTATGTTTTGAGGAAACAATACTTGTTTTACGGTGAGGGGTTAGTATATTAAAAAATAAAGGTTTTCGTACAAGTATTGTTTTACTGACCCACTCAAATTGTTTTTCGCCCCTCCAGGTTTAGTAGCGGTGTTCACGCGTATACAAGGATTCTGGCAAATCTCAGGAGATGGTTACCTTCAATGGTGTAACCCTCAACTTATTACTATACTGTCTTCTGCTCTGACATCACGTGTGAAGAGGGTTCAAACCCGCTCACCTGCACACTCTCTTGATTAGGCACTTTAGGTTTAAATTTACCCATACCTTCCACGTCACTACACTTTATGGCTTCGTCACCCTTCAGGTGTCGGCCAACACAACTTGATTTGGAGTCCAAGTCAATAATCAATGATAACTTTCAAAACAGAATCTAGACAAGAACAACACCCTTAATAATGCAAAGGTGTGGAAATTAAATATGAAGCACATATAATCCAAAGGAAAATTGAGATAAATAACGTTACAAAAATTGATAGTTCATTATTCCACAAATATTCAATTGAAGGAAGAAACTACAAAAGCAAAGGGAAAACGTATACGAGGAAAACTGCAAATAAATAAATAACCATCTACACTCATCTTCGTTTAGGGGTGCACAAGTCTCCACCAACAGTCGGTGCTTTTGCTAGGTCTCCACCATTTTTTAGGTTTAGTAGTGAGAACTCTTCATCTAAAAGAGTTTTTGTTTTTTATTTATTAGGTTTAAAGCTTAAGGGTATTTGTGTCTATTTAAATGATATTTTGAATATATTTGAAAGTTTTTATAAAAACTAACATTTTTTAAATTAGGAGCTAATATTTGGCTATATTTGATAAATACTCGTCAACCTCATTCTTTATATATAACTAGCCTCTCCGCACGCACGCACTAACGTGCGTGCGAGAGGTATTTTTAGATCACCGGCGCTACATGCCCCTAAAGGTGTATAGTGTTAGTTTTTCCCATCGTAATTGTCAAGATATATTTTAAATATATTGTGCAAAGAGGAACTCTTTTTTTATCATGCATATCCTAAAAAGTTATCAAGTTTTTCATTTTTACTTTGCTTAAAGTAATGATTTAAATGTTATTCATGCAATTGTCAAACAACATGAGATTTTGGATGCAAGTTCCTACCTACCTAAAGTTCATAAACAATAGTAAGTAGATGTGAATAAAAAAAGAGTAGATGAAAACATTAAGTACTCGTAGCAAAATACAAAACAACTTAAATGTCAAAATATAAAACCTACATCACAATATGTACATTTTTCACAATACCCATAAAGTCTATATGTCACTGTTTCTTTTGGTATGAAAATTGACATTAATGCTGCAATTTCCACCCATTTGTTCCTGATTGACGCTTTAAATTTTCATTGCCAATCTACAAACAATAGTGAGAAATTATAAATCAAATAAAAAGAGTTAAATGATAAGTGAGAAATGCATATTGAAAGGTTATATATATATATATATATATATATATATATATATATATATATATATATATATATATAAAGGGAGAAGATCAGTTTGGTGAAGCATTCAGAAATGTCAAAAAAAGCCCCTTTGTTTTATTCATAATCAAAATCCAAAAAAATCGGAAAATGAGGATAAATTGGTAAAAACACGTAACTGAATAAAAAAACTATTTTGAAGCCAAAAAAAAAATCAAAATAAAAAATAAATACATGCTAAAGATGATGTAGGAGGAATAAGCGCCAACCAATTGACAGTTTACTCTTGAGGTTTCCCACGATCTGGACTGAGTTTAGTAGGAGGTTCAACAGTAACTACACACACCCTACTAATATTTAGAGATGAATAATCGGAAGGAAATCCAATTCCTTTTTTTCACTAGATTAGTGTGTGGTTCCATTCGTTCCAAACATAAAAAGGATTGAAAAAATTAGTCACATATAGGGATGGGCAAATACCCATTGGTTATGGGTAATCGCGGTTACCCGCCCATTTAAATTAAACGGTTATGGTTATGGGTAACCGTTTAGATAAATAAACGGTTATGGGTATAACCGTTTACCCGCAAAATTTAAATGGACGGTTATGGGTATTAACCACGGTTATAAACGGGTAACCGTTTACCCATTTATTTTATATATGTAAAACTAACACAAACCATGTTCTCGATCCAATAATACTTAGCACCCAATAAATTAGCAAGGAATTCATCGGTCATTCTCTCAATAACACTACTACATGAATGATAATTCTCATCATCAAGGAATTGGCCAAATTAATTTAAATTTCTTGCGGGTAACCATGAAATTGACAGAAATGCTTTGACAGAAATGTCTTCTAAACAATTTTTGTAACCCAATAATACTTAGCAAATTTTATATTTACCTTCATTGGTAACAGTTAAAAATATCGTCCGTAAACTATTATTTCAATTATTGAAATGGTATAAGGACTTAAAAAATTAAAATATGGAAATATATGATGAATGTACCTATAACGGTGTTTAATTGTCAAAAAAAAAAATTATGACAAATTTTTTATAATTTTCAAGTTGTTAAAAAACATGTAGACGAGTGAAAAAAGGGTAAGGGTAAAAAAAAAAAAGATAAACGGGTTAAAAAGGATAAATGGGTAAACAGGTATTAAACGGTTACGGTTAAATGGGTATGCGGTTATGGGTATGGTTAACCGTTTATAAACGGTTATGGGTATGGGTATAACCGTTTAAGTAATTACCCAACGGGTAAACGGTTATGCAGGTATGAACATAAACGGTTATGGATAAATTAACCGCGGTTACCAGCCCGCATGACCATTGCCCATCCCTAGTTACAGATCTCCTTCTTTGTTGTTGCCATTCTGGGTTTTGTGCTCTGCATGCAACGGCTTTTCAAAATCAGGTACACCACTTTCTGAATATTAATTTTGTTTGTTGCATTGACTTCAAATGGAATTTTGATTCAAACAAATTAGATTGGAGAAGGAATTCCCATAGTTGAACCTGAGCCCGTAGACAAGTGCGAGGCTCTCAAGCGATTGCTCGCTCTCATCGCCCAGTGCTTCCAAATCTCCTATTTCTTCCTTGAGGTCAGTCTCCAACTTCATCACTCTCGAATTCGAATCCGAAAATTGATAAAAATTTGAAAAAGCGAAGCAATCAATTTTGTAATTTGAATTCAGTTTCGACTGAATTTTGTACTGTTTCCTTTTCCTTTCTTTGGCTTTTGATTTCCATCTCCTTTTTATCCTGCGTTTTAATTGCCCAGTTTTTTCCAATCTTTTCCTGCTTTTTCCCGTACGAAGTGCATTGCAGGAAGGAGAGATAGAGGTACTGCAAATTGTTCCAAAAATAGAGCACACCACCCCGACGTGCATTGCAGGAAGGAGAGATAGAGGTACTGTAAATTGTTCCAAAAATAGAGCACACCACCCCGACAATGATAATCATAATGCAGGTTGCAATTTGAAAATTAGAACAAGAAACCATTGTGAAAACCATTTTATAACACAAGATTTCCGGTAATTAAATTTCATTTAGTACAATGATGGTTTGCTTCTTAATTACCTGCAACTTTGTTAATCTACCACTGTGTAGCATGAGATAACACACGCATGGGAAGACAACAGCCTGCCAAGGAACAAAAGAAAAACTAAATTAATTTAGCTCATTGATGAACTGCACCCAATACTGTGGGGTTATGCACTTATATATAAGAAAGAATAAGAAAGAAGTTACTCACCACTAGCATTGCTACTAAGGATCCAATCAATGCCATCACAGAGCCTTGAAACTCTTGGTGTATGTAAATCTGTTATATGTTGCAGTATACTAAATCTGTTATATGACTTCTTTGTATACCAAATCTGTTACATGACTTCTTTTTATTTTATTTATGCATATAGTAAGTATCCTTAAAACTCTTGGTGTATGTAAATCTGTTATATGTTGCAATATGCTTGCTGAACGAGTTGCTTTAGACATAGTAAAAAGTAAAATTATAAAGTTCAACCCATTTTTCTCAATAAAATGGTAGTTTTCTCCTATTCTTCAAATTTACTGAAGGTTCTATTCGGAATCATTGTTAATGTTGTGTTTCTTTGTTTTTACAGGGAATGAAACTGCTCTCTTCCTCTTCTTGATACCCACGTTGATAGCATTGATCGTCAACGGTTAAAGGTGAACATAGAATCTTGGATTTTGTTTTTTGGTTTGGTTAATTCAATGGGATTTTATGTAATGTACTACTACGATTAGTACTTTGTTTTTGGGTGGTGAATTTATAAGATTTGGAATCTTTATGGAAGAATAAGGAAAGAAAATCTGCAAAAAAAAAAAAAAAAACATGAATAGTCAAATTCGGTACATAATTTCATTTTAAAGATGTTTACAACTTTAGGAACCTACTTTTCATCCTGAGTATTCATCCCACCGGAGATTGGCGGCTTCAGCTTCATTGTTGCTAAGACTGGTGGCCCATTGGTGTCGAGTATGGTTTATTGATACGTAGGAGTTTTACAGGTAGATTGGTTTTTGTATACCTCTGTGTCGAAAGAAATATGTGTATGTTGTTTGTGGGTGGTGAATTTATAAGATAAAACAGGAAAATGAGATTGTATGATGCGGTTGAAGACCCCAACATAAATGCAACAGAAAGAAGAAGGACAAATAAAGAATAGAGGGTAAATACATTAGCTCTCTTTGATTCTGTTACTTGGTACTTTTCCTATCTTTTTTATTTTTTTTTATTTTTTATGGACGAATACATATTCATTATTCCTATATACAATTAGAATAACTACGTATTTCGTGTATCACCATTCTCTTTGCTTGAAATCTTATTTGGATGCTCCTGCTTATGTACCAAGTTCTTTCTTATATGATGAATGATTTCCTAGCCTATTTTGTGTTTTATTGCACTCTAGCGTTAGGTGTAAGAAAAAGCACAACTTTTTTTTTTCTTTCCACCTCAAGTGACAAATTTGTGAACAACCATTAATTGAAAGAAAAAAAAAAGGCTATTTTCATGGCCTGACCTCAAATGAATTTGTATAAAATTAAAAGCTAAAATTTGTACACGACTTAAATTGGCACAAATTCAGCATTTGTACTTGGCTTCAAGAACCTACTTTGGCCTAATTTTTTTAGAGATACCCCGTGTTTTTACAAACGCAAAACCATTTTTAGGGGTGCGTACCAAACATCTTAACAATAGATAAGATCCCAAAATATCTTAACGCAAAAATTTGGTACGAAAACCATCTTTAAAATATTTTTAAGATGTGCTGTGTAAAAATTTGGTACGGAAACCATTTTTGCGTTAATTTATCTTAACGTGTACTATTTTTTAGGAATTTAAGCTGTTTTGCGTTAAGATATCTAAAGACCAATCGTAAATATTTTGGCACAAATTTAACATAATCAGTACCTCCCAAATTACCAACATTGACCTCCCCAAGTCACATGCTTAATCAAATCCAAAGAAATCCTTACCCCAAAAAATCATGAAATAATTAAAGCATCACATCTTTCACATTTCCATTCAAGTCCTAACACCAACCGGCAAGTGTATATAGGCCAGTCATTTCCTTGCACGGATAATTATTACACTTCAAAAGTATTTTGTCATGACTTTATTTTGTTCTTTTGTATTATAGTGTTGTGTAGATAACGGTTTTTTTCTTCTCGGTTCGTAGGCATCTGTGTAGACTTTTTCATATTTGTGGAATGTCACAGAATTTGTATTCAATTTAGGTTCAATATGTTTATTTTTTAATTTTTTAGATAAAAATTTTCATGGAGCGTGCTCAAAATCGTGCAAGACAATGATGTCAATCATTGAGTCCTGAAGAACATCAAAGATATCTAGCTCGACGACGTTTAATAGCACGAGAAAAAAGACAACAAATTCCAACTCTAAACGATGATCATACTATGACATCCCCCAGTAACATACAACAAGAAATTCCTGGTATTTATTTCATATTCTTTTTTCTTTAACTCATGCTAATGCAAAAAAAAAAAAAAAAAAAAAAAATATTTAACTATGCAACAAGTAGGTCCCAGTAATATACAAGAACGAGCTCAGTTGGCTAACTATGATGTTGAGGTCGACCCCAATAATATACAACAACAAATTCCTCGTATTTATGTCAATTTCTTTATTTGTAATTGTTTCACACTTAAAAGACTAGGTAATTTCTTAGAACACTATTTTGTGAATTGAAATCTCATTTTATTCTTTTTTTCGATACTCTCATATTGATATCAATGTGTAGTTATTTTTACTGGTAGTGTTACGAAATATTAGACTCACAACTAAATATATTAAATATTAAACACAAAATTTTTAACTAATCATATTATAATGTGGTCTATTTATTAGAATAAATTGAGCATGAAAGCGCGAGTTCAAGGGTTCTGTCAGATATCACAAATCATGATGACCAAACTTCTGCTAGAATGCATACTCATATAGGACAATTGCCACATTCGAATAGGTCACAAATATATGATGGGATGCTCTCAACTCTTCCCCATAATGGTGAGCTTAGTATATAATTCTATCCATATATAGATATATTATTAGTTACGAAGGAAATTCTTATACTGAGTGTTGGATATTCATGTAAAAATATCAGAAGAAGAACATGCAACTAGAACCAATCATCATGTGCGACAAAGTAGAGGAAGAAGAAACCACAATTGTACTAGAAATTATAATGAGAATCGGGGTATCCTAGGTTGCCGCTTACCTGCTCCAACCACATGTCCATACGGCTATGCACGATTGTTTACTCGAGAAACTTTGAATATGTGTTGCTTGAAAGGAAGAGTTACTTTACCCCTAATACAGTCTCCCCCAGAAATGGTTGCTCTTTTCTCTGACCAAACAAATGAGGGTAGACACTTTAGGCAAAATATTCAAGCCTACAATCACGCATTTGCATTCACTTCAATGGGAGTACACGTGGATGAAAGAATAAATATTGGTGGCCGTGGGATTTACACATTTCATGCTCAAGGTGCATTATATCATAAGATTGGTGGACTTTTACCACATGAAGGAAATAGACCACGATTTTTACAAGCTTATATATATGACACTGAGCATGAAGTTGAAAACCGAATGTGTGAAAGTGAAGTTTTAGATAGATGTGTGGTTGAAAAGATACAACAGATGTTGAACAACCATAATCCTTTTGTTCATACCTTGCGAAGCCTCGGACAACGCCAAGATTTGCCGAATTGCAAGTTGATCCTAAAAGAGCAACCAATAGATCGGCGTCAGTATAGTCTACCATCAACATCACAAGTTGCAACAATTATAATAGATGAAGATGATGCAAATGGAAGGGACATCGTGGTGGAGACAATTAGTGGAAGACTTTCTCACGTCCGAGACTATGTCGGATTTTATGATCCGTTACAGTATCCACTATTGCTACCTTACAGTACATATGGTTGGGATGTTAATAGTCGTGATGATGGTGGAAGAGCATTAACATGTTGCGACTATTATGCTTATGTTGGAAATGTGCCCTAAAACCAATCATATGATGATACTTTACGGACATTTCAAATGTTAAACTAATCTAGTTTAACATATAAAGGGAAAAGATTATTGTTTGAGCCGTCTCATATAAATGTTATATGCTTAAACGATAAAGTCCAAGGAATATGTGATTGGGAGAATGCAATCTAATGAAGTTAGATTAATGAGACCATTCTTTCGTAGACACATCCTAAATGTTCCTGATCATAGGATTACCAATTGGGCATTGACAGTCCGTTAAGATCAGTACGTACTGTGTCTTCTCTCAGGGAGAGTGACTAGTCTCGAGTCATTGGTGTGTGTGTGACATCAAGACAAGTACGTAGGTGCTCAATAAGAGAATGAGTTCACTGAACGTGATCAACGAAGAGTTCTTATATTCCATGTCACATGAGAACTCATGGTTGGGATAATGCAAAGTTGTCCTTTGACCTGAGGCATCACAGTTGTCTTGTGGTTAAGTCCTTAATCTTTGATTATGTCTAATTCACCCCCTCGGGGTGTCACGGCATCGTTGGGGTTAAGCCACTTAGCTATGGAAACAAGTGAATGCGCAACAAGGGATCTCTAACCTTCAAACAGTTGAGGGAGAATACTCTATGATATGATTTGGAATCTCTGGCCAGAGTATGAATGAGATTGGGGAATGCGTTCCAAATCACATTCAAGGAAATCATATAAGCAAACGATTCACATTGGATAGTAGACATGAGTAAATAAACTATCATACCAAACAATGTGGTCAAGAGTATTAGATTAGAGAAGGACCGTATTGCATTTGTAATCCCGAACTGAATAGGTTCTCTAACCTCTTCTGATTAGCTTGGGTAACCATGACATGCTGCTAGGCGTCAACCATGGTTTGTGGAAGCCCTATACGTGTATAACCACTAAAGGGAGAATTGAAAATTGTTTCAATTCACAATCGATGTAAAATTGTTTTAATCGCCCACTGCCTCGCTAAAAGGAACCTAATGGATCGCACACCATAAAAGGTAGAGATTGAAGATTAAACGGAAATGAGTAAGAATGATTAAATGGTTTAATCATTTATTTATGGCAAGGATTAATTAATATGTTAATTAATCAAACGAATTAGTTCGTTAAAGACCTCGGGATAGTTTTGGACCTTAAGGCCCAATGGGCTTCGAACGTCAAGCCCATTAACTTAAGTTGTATGACAATTTAATGAATAAAGATTCATTAAAGCCCAAAAGCCCAAAATTCCTTAGGTGGCCGGCCATATGGTGATGAATTAGGGTTTTGGTTCTTTAGGTCACTTATTTGAAGGGACTATATAAAGGACTTTATAGCCAAATATTCATTAATGTGATTAAGGGTTTATTTTGGGTGAAAATGGGTGAGAATTGTCTCTCCATTTTCTCTCTAAAGAAGCTAACACCTTGGAGGGTACATCTAGCAATCCTACTACTCCAAGGTCACTCATTTCTTCTACAATCAAACCTTGGTGAAGAGACTTAGAGGTTCTCAATTTTGGGAACTTAGAGAACCTATTCTTCCATCCAAATCCATGGATCTAAGAAGCAAGGAATGAAGGCCCTATCTCTTTGGGTGATTAGCCTTTGCTTATGCAAAGAGGAATCTACAAAGGTAATAATTTCAACTCACTTTGTTTTGAGTTGATTATTGGTTCACCAATCTACTAGGCTTTGAATTTCATGGTAATGTTTTGTTTTTGAGTGCATGCAAGCATGATTCCGCCTTTTAATTGTTAATTGCATGCTATATGATGTTGCTCAA